TATTTTATATAGCCAATAAACCTTTTTAAGACTTGCGTGATTATGGCGGTGATAAGTATACATCGAATTCCGATTATCATAGATACATAGATAACACTAGAGAAAAGGGAAAGTTCACATATTCGATGAAAGGATACTCACATTAGAGTAGAGTAGACATCTATATTTCTATATTTATACAGGATATCCCCTTCATTGTAGTAAACAGTGGTATCAACGGGGGTCCTGTTACCCACCCATCCCACCCCAGGGGAGGACATCCATTACACAGTATTCTCGTGTGTGGGAAATTGATGTCTCCTGTCCCTAACCCTGCAGAGAAGACTAGAATATCTAATCATTTCTTGATGTTATACAATGGTAGCATATTCTTCTCAATTATTTTAAGACCCTGAGTGTTGGTCCGGCCGGGGCTCGAACCCTCGACCTCCCGCACAACAGTCCAGCGCTCTATCCATTGAGCTAACCGAAAGGCGGTCCATTGAGCTAACCGGGAGGCGGTTAGTTTACTTAATATCTTGTTTTCTTCTGAAACAGCTGTGTACTATTTTAAACATACCCCAAACTAAAGAAAACCCAGACGCAACATGGTCTGCATCATCATATCAGATTCTTGGGGGACACAATTCCGTAATTGGATGCAAAGAATGCCCAGATTGTCCCCCAGGACAACAACCAACGCCACCATGTGGAAGCAAAGTACAGCCGGATGAATTGATAAATTGTACCGTTTGCCCCTCGAAAACCTTCAAAGCCAGAAACGGTAGAGGCATTTGTAAACCGTGTCTGGCATGCGGTCGAAGAGAAACCGTTAGTTCATGTACTGCGAGCAAAAATGCACAATGTGGGGACTGCTCTCGTGGTACCTTCCGATTGGGATTCACAGTGGACTCTTGTAAACAGTGTTCAACGTGTTGTGCGACGAAATGCTTTGCTGAGGTAGAGTGTCATTATCTCAGGCAATGCTTAAGAACGAACTGTACTAAAGAAATAGAAAACTAGAGATATAATAAAATTGGAAGTAAATTCTCACAGGTTTACCACGCCCATGAGAATGACTCCTCCAAACCCAATGCCACTTCAAGGTGTTTCTATCAGTACCAGTTCTGACAACGCAGAGAAATTATCACGAAAGAATATTCCAAAAAGAACGCGAGCTACACGGGACGTTCCGCAAGCCCTAAAAAGAGCAAGTGGAAATACCTCTAAACTGGCAAATGAACGAAGCGCTCCTCCTCTAAGCAATGACTCACATTATGCAATAACTACCACCACCAATCCATACGAGGGATTTACAACTGCCTCCACTCATGTTCGTACTGTGGAGTCCAATCTGTAAAATAAATGGCCTTATGCCGTTGTGGAATAAACTTCACAGAACTCGTGAGGATTTTAATTGTCCTTGTGGCTATATTTATTGTGGCGCTTTTCTTAGTTTGCCGGGTTATAGCATACTTCTGTTTTAAAAGGATATCAGAACATCTCAAGCCTCAATATTGCAGAAATCTAAAGAGTACCGAAATATATAAACATCTCTTATGTGAAAAGACTCATCGAACCAGTAAGAATCACAAAACACAGAATTTTCACAGTTTAGTGCATATCATAGAAGATACACTTATTACATAAATTGCACTTTTCACACAAATACTGCCACTCCCCTGATATTAATTAGTTACAATTGATAGTTCTTCCCAAGTTTAGGTCATCTCTCGCGCATAGAACCCGAAATGAGATTTCTGTCGAACGTTTTGGTTTTCTACCCTACAAGTATAACAATTAGAGAGTGCAAAGCAGCACCTCTTTCTCCTGAGCACCCTAATTCCTCTGTACTTATGCAGTGTTTGTATTGTACTTAGTCTCCGGCTCGTAAGTAATTTTAGTACTGTGTTGCAGTAAGTAAGCCTAGTTTTGTATGCATATGCAATGTCTATATGGTAAAATTTGAAAAGAGAATAGCAAAAATATACAATGCAGTATTAAGGAGTGGCCAAAAATGCAATTGTTTAGAATTCTTGCTGATGAGAATCAATCTACCTGAAATTTATTAGTTTTGCATTTGCATAGAATCTCACCAGTCTTCCTTCCATTTTTTTTGGCTAGGTGACAACAAACAAGTCTCTCAAATCGATGGCAATTTGGAAAGCAGCTTTCCTGAGAAAAGCAAGGCCGTTGATGGCTTTGAAAGTGAGTCACTAAAAACGAGCCTCTTTCTCAAGCAATAGACTTTTACATGAAACGAAGAGTAGATTAAAAGGTGCGGATGATAAAATTTAATTTTTTAGTTCACTTCATTCACCAATGTCTTCTTAAATTGCTGATACTCTTTTATGTGACATATCCCCCTATCTTGAAGACATCCTCGTTAAGCAACTTGAAGTAGAAAACAGTTGGAAAAAGGTGGGAAGGGCATTCAAGATAGACCAGGACGGTCTGGATTACTGGGAAAATGGAAAGTCAATGGGAAGTCCAGCTACAGGAGAACTCTTGAAAAAACTCAAAGCGACGCATCCTGAATTCACTATTGCTGACCTTATAGGTATCCTAGTGAGCCCAGGCATACAACGTCAAGATATTGTTCAAAGTATCTAGCAACATTTACAAAGTGACAGAAGGTGAAAACTTTGACTCCAAAATGGCAATGCAAACTTTGTATTGGATACCCTAATTATGAGTATATGTAGAACATAATAAGTGATTATAATGTCCACAGTGGATCCAGGGATCGACACTAACGGTAGCCCACTAGCCACAGACTAGTAGAAATTCAGCTTTGGCAAGTGGTTTATTATTTCCATTAGCCAGTTTGGCTAGTGAACAAACTGACATTCTCATAACATCTAAGATGTCACTAGCCACTTGGCTAGTAAGTTGAAAAGTTAGTGTCGAGCCCTGGGATCGTCATAATTTATCAGAAAACATAATACTAGGAGTAACATTTTTAATCAAGGGTTAAGTAAAAAACAAACACACAAAAAAATGGGGGCACATATTTGAAGATGGCAATGTGTACATAGTTGTTATTTTTGCACATTTTTCTATTTTCTATGTGCATTTTGTTGTCTTTAAGGGGCTAGAGTGTATACTAACTGCAAATTGGAATTCTACAATAATGAGAAATTATCTTAGCTTAGAGCATTTAACTTTTCTAAGGTATCCAATGGGGTAATTAGAGCACATAATTTCTCTTAAAACAGACAGGTGATGGGAATAAAGAGAGGTATTAACCAAGTGATTATCATTAATTCAATCACAAATTCCCAGAACTACCATTAGAAATTAAAGGCAAATAATGAAGGGAGTTAGATTTAGGAAGCGAAACAAACTATCTAAAAAATATTGTGTAATGATTTAAACAAGAAATAGTTGAATTTGTTATATTTTCATGGAGTTGTTATTGAATATAGTGCTATTTTCCACAATAAAAGTAATGTTATTTAATACATACTTGATTATTCAGTAGTGTTTTGTGCAATTTGATACCTGTAATTGCTATAATGATGCCTGAATAAGATTTTCCCTAAGTGAAGAAAGTGTATTTAGCTCTGTGCATTTAATCCTATTAGAGTACAATATTGATTTCTAAACCTGATTATATTATCATCATATATTGTAGACAACAAAAAATCTACAGTAAATAACCAAGAACAATTTCCATTTGGCACTTTTTCCTTCTGCAATTTCCCTGTGAGCGTCAGCAGCTTGGTTTCACAGATATTTTTATTTCAAACCCTGCCGTAAACCTGCTCCTGCCGCTGATGCATCTCTTCCTTCACAACATATAGACAAGTTAGACACAAAAACAACATCTTTCTAATTTTTTTTTATTACAATGAGGAATACACTACTTGTTCGTGCACTTCGCGCGGTGCTTTTTAATGGAATAATCTTGTTGTTTGTGCCTTTCGCAAGTGATCCACACGGATATCGTACAAGTCGACACACTAAGTCATGGCCAAAGAGATTGTTCTCTAAGCCTCTCCAATGAGGTTCGACCAGAAAACTTTACGACTCGTGAATACACGAGACGATCCGTTCGGGTCGCACGACTTGTGAACACCTCAAACGATCCGACAACTCAGTTTTATGAGCCGTTACGAGCCGTGGTATTGGACATGGATGCAAAAGATCCGACAACCATGTTGATTGCAACAAGTGAAGCCAAGGCAAATAACATTCCAAAGACACCGTGGGACGCGTTGATTGCAGGACGTAAACAAATCTAAATGGCCGCCCAGCCGAGCCGACCGTTTTCACGTAATTCAGAGGGGCTTTTGATGGAACCTGTAGCGGCTCAAGAGTTGAGGATGTATCAAAATTTGGCCCACCTTGCAGAGGGAAAGAATCAGTTTCCATGGCCCAGTGTGTTATGGGGAACACTAAGATTTTCCAACAGTTGCCCTTTTGTAAGAAGTTACCTTCCACTTAGGAAGTGCAGCATTATCTCATCCCCTCAGGATGTGCAACATTATCTCGCCCACAACATCAAAATAATGGAACTTAGAGCTAAATGTAGTTGGCCATCAGGGCTGCTAATGAATTTCATCCAAGCCAGCTATAATTATCCGTGTAGTTTAGATACATAACAACGCCAATCTACAAACAAAATATCACAGCGCTCAAAACAACATTTGAATTAGGATAGAGCAACCTTCCTTGGTATTCAAGCAAGGGTTGAGGTTAATTTGCGTAAATTAATCTTCGAAGGAAGAGCAAAGATACAAAAAGATCGAAAAAATCCCGATGCCCCTGCTATAAGCGCGCGATCACCGATGAAAATAAGGATTAAGCATTCCGAACCGCCTGGATGCGTCAGAAAGACAGACAAATTGACATACAAGGAAATGAATACCTCCTTGAGGTTCTCTTGTTCTCAAATGTTTCCTGCTTTTAAATCCTTTCCATGTTATTCACGACGGAATGATCGGGTTTGAAGTTCAAACCAAAAGTATCCAGGAGCTCGACAGAATCACCCAGGTTTGACCAATATCAAATCGGCACAATTTCCCAGAAACCGGCTGTAGATTTGCATAAATTATCGTCTAAGCAAAGTTAAGCTCATCACGACCGGTTTTATAGTGTAAGTGCATCTACTCGTTGATTTCACAGCAACAAAGAATGATACTCGTTTATCTACTCTAGGGAGGTGTCATCTAATCAAGAATCAAATTAATCCATGATGGAGCTATTGAAAGAGGGACGCCTCTGTGTGCAATACTCCCGTTCACAGGAAGTACAGTTGAACAGGAGGAATTCATTCCCAAATAGACCAAGGAACACACTTTTCCCCACTTACGATCTCGACGGTAAGGATGTAATTAATTCTGAATTCAAGGATCTGAAAGTTGCCTTGTTTTTAAGGTCGATCTTTTTATTTTCAAGAACGGTGGAGATAAGAGTAATCGTTCGCTAAACCAATGCATGTCAAGTTCATTATCATTTTCGAATGCTAGTGAGGATTGAAAGTTACTATCTTATTCTGCAGTTTCAAAGATTAAGGCATAAAATGACCACTTTATACAAAATTACATGGACCATTGATCCCTTGCCATAGAATCATGATTCAGTGCTCTTATACTCTTACGGCGTTACTAGTCGTGTAAGACCTTTCACGATCTGTATCAATTACGTCTGTAAACTTAAACGGAGGGCTCACATGGTAAAGAAAAATTTCACGACTCAGGAAGACTATTTTATGAGTTTTATACTTTCAGTTGATATCTTAATTATTGTGGTATGCTACGCGGTTAATTTTTTTGCCTATTTGTTTTTGGAAGATAGAAAGAAAAAGTGCGTTCGTCGTCTAAGAAGAAAACAGTCACTTGTGTCTTCCAAGCGTTCCTTTATAAACAACATGGCAGCCATCTATTACGACGGTTATCGCGCTAGTAACGAAACCGCAGTTAAACGCGCACAGGTTTCAGGTGGACACTAGCAAGGGTTCCGTGATAAGCAAGAGATGTAACTTACTAAGATTTCTGGCTAACTTATTTTCACGAATTCCTGTCAGTGTTTCCTAAGTCTGCCAGAATTACACATCCATAGTAAACAAGGCCTGCTCTCAATGCGGATTGTTCGTTTATAGTCCAACCTTACAGAATTTGGATCGATAAGGTTATTACAAGTTCAATTTTTTGTGCTTACCTCAATAAGGCAAAAGCAATTAATAAGGCCTACTACAGATAAACAACCAAAACTTCCTATAATTATTGTTTCCGGTTTTGCAATTTACTCTTATCATGAGTAAATGTCCGCAAAATAGTAACCAAGGACACCAGCTACCGCTTGAATGAGAGTGCTCCGGCGTTGACAAATACATTGATCTCAAAAAGATGATCAAAAGATTTTGATGTTCGATTTATTATGGTAATTGAAATTTGGATTGAAATCACAAGCGAGCGTCATTACATATAATGCATACACGCATTTAATTATACGAGCTTCTACCCATTCCCCAGGTTGAATATTATTACCATCGTAATGTTGTTATACAGGAACCACTGTCAACTGAAGGCACCATGATTCCATCATGGCAAAATATGGCAGAATTAAGAATTGTTATCACAGTACTATTTATTCTTGGATTTGTCTCCTTGCTCTGGGTAAGTCAGGCATGAAAATAAACAATCGTATTCATTTGGCGCGAAGATATGCACGAATATTTGTCCGCGGACATTATCTGTTCCAAGGTGAAACAGCTTTCCGAGAGAAAAATTGTGATCTTCAAAAACAGATAATGTCTGAGGAAAAATGTGAGAGCATATTTTCCCGCTGAATGGAGGCTATTGGGTTTTATTATTCTCAAAATAATTTTGCAACCCGTGGCAAAAATGTTTACGAACACCTCATTATGTACTGGGTGGGATGTTTCGTTTTTTGTGTTGTCTGGTGCAATTTAAGAAACATTCAAACATGTCCCTTCTTCTGTAACAATAGCTAAACCCTTTCTCGTCTTGAATTTAATTTTAAACGAAGACTTTCATCGTAGTTGCCGTGACAGTTTTGAAAATTGGGGAATATAACTTGGAGGACATCCTTGGATTTTACTCAGTTTTAGCTAAGGCATATTCAGTCACGCGATGCGTTTACCCCTATGACTGAGCTCGATTGCCGCCGCTCTCTCGAGTCCGGTCTTTTTCGTTCCTCCCCAAGAAGAGACAGCCATGGGTTCGTGGAGGAGCGCGGGCTCCGGTTCCCGAACAGCGGATGGTAATCGAGCTTACCCTATGACGAGCTAACAAAATTATTTGACTAAATAAAAAGCCTAGGTGATATGAGAGATGCACAGGCTATGATTACTGGAGAATGAAGTCATATCTTTCTCCGCATGTGTCTATTACAAAAAGTGAAGACCAGTTTTTTTAGAAGCCGACGCGCGATTTGTTGCTTTTTTTTCCTAAAGATTCCAATCTCCAAACTATTTAAATATAGTTATTCTCGACAAGCTCAGAGAATATGTTAGGTGTAAAGTTCAAAAAAAGTTCATACACCTCGCCAATGGTACCTAATGGTTAAATAAATAGAAGGAATCAGAACTAAATTTTCCAAGGTATTTGTGCTACTTTTTCATTGTTTCTTGATTGTCCAGGTATGGAATTTTTGGGAAGACAGCGATGAATTTTACCCAGATGGTCTAGATAGATGTCCCCCAGAGACCTACACTATTAATGAAGATGCCAGCAGAAGAATCAGGTGTTTCGATTGCCCTGTATGCCCTACTGGAGAGGAACCTTCGCCACCATGTGGTATCACATTGACTGCGAAACCTTCTGGTAAGTGCATACCTTGCAGACCACGAACATATTCAGACAAGGTCGGCAGTACATCCTGCAAAACATGCAGTGACTGTGGATCAAGAAATGTCATTAGCTCTTGCACTGCTGAGAAAAATATAGAATGCCAGGAGTGTCCAAAGAAACAATATGAAGACGAAAAAACACATATATGCAAACCTTGCTCTGCTTGTTGTCCAAAAAGCTTTGCAACTCAGATAGAATGTATGAGAACAAAAAAATGCAAACCAAGTTGCGTATGGTGGACAAAACCAAGAAAATATTTCAAGAAAAAGATTACAGGAAATATGAACACTACGTATGATAAAGCTTTAACCAAAGACCTCACAATGTCGCTGAAGCAAAGTTATACGACAAATACGAGCCAATTTATTGACCAGTATGGCCACAACGATAAAAATATTTCACAGACCAAAGTAAAACGAGACGTGGAGGCCGAAGTTGATGTACAACGTGATTCTACGGATAACACTGACAGTCAAACAGGAAAAACTTCCAATTAGAATAAACTCGAAGAGTTAGATTTTCTTGAGACTCGTGACATTATCAAGAGAGACCAGAAAGACGTTGAGCTACTAATGACGGACCAAGGTAAAAATTCAAACCATCTTTCAACACCAAAAAAAAGTTCTAACGGGACTAAAATTATTGCAGTTCAAGAGGAGAACCCAGTTTCTTCCCAAATGTCACCTGGAGAAAATTACATCACTTTTCAAAGAACTGTGGCTCTCCCAAAAGAAGTAACAGAGGTGAGACAAGTAACACCACATATGGAAGGTGCACAAAATGAATTCCTGAACTCGCCATTGGGAAGCTTCACTGGAACCATTTTGGCCGCTATTTTTGTCGGGCTCTTGGTACTCTTTGTATATATCCTATACAAAAAGTGTGTTTCCAAGATGCTAAAGGGCCGTAAGAAGTTCAAAAGAACATCATCAGATCCCACAGACTTCCATCATAAAGGTACGAAAAAATTATAGGTCAATACACAATACATAATAAACAACTGAGTTCCTACCGCGAGCAATGTCGATTTGAGAGGAGCGTAAGTATGCCACGCAGTGGTCATATCGTTCATTTACGTTACTGGTTCAAAAAGTCAGTTGTATAGATAATTTTCATCACAGAACATCTGATTTTATTTCCAAGAATACTACTCAGTTGTTGGCACCTTGGATACTTCAGAACGAGAAAGGCTTGTGAATGAAACCACAAATGAGACCCACGATGAAGCTAGCACTGTTACCGTGTCGCCGGGTAAGGAAACCGTACCACAGGGTTAGGAAACCATACCATAGGGTTAAGAAACCAAGGTCGATCGCACCTGATTCAGTCTTGTGACACAGTGGTCTGACAACATAGAGACCTGGAAGAAAGATCGTTTGTTTTTTTTTTCATTATGTCACTACGTCTATGTTGCTAGTTTGATATTAAGTGAAAGATCATACCTTCGCATGAACCCCATAGGCTGACATGTCTTTAATTTATATTTATATTATATCGTGGTCTTCCTGTCACTCGTGCGGACCCATAAATTTCGGACGCAAATTAGCTTTAGTTCATAGGCAAAAGAAACAAAAACATTGTACATTCACTATGCACAGAAGAAATCTTAGATTAGCTTTCAGAGGAGCGCATTTCATATTATTTAGTTCAGTAAACTTGATTGAAGATAATAATCGAAACATTTTGTATATTAAAACGCTCACCGCCTCTACAGTCTAAACTTGACACAAAACATCACCCAAAGAATACTTAAATCATTCTACTAAATTCTATCTTAGATCTCAATCTGGCAGAAATACCCCCAGACCTCCTAGATAAACTGGTGATGCGTCTAGATGTTCCGCAAGCCGAGAAGTCTATTACTCAGGGCAAAACATTCGGTTGGCAGACAGTTGGAAAGGAAGTTGGAATTCCTCAAACAGAACTCAAATACTATGAGCACTTAGGAAGACATGCCAGTGAAAGCCCAACAAAAATGTTACTTGACAAAATGGGAAGTCAAGGAAAGACGATCTCAGATCTTGTTGACGTACTCAACAAACCTAAACTGAAACTTGGAAATGTTGCCGAAACGATAATTCGCCATCGTGTAACAAGGATTTAAGATGTGGTTTCTACACATTCTCCGAAATAATTTTATTTTTTCTAGCATATAGACAGTTTGTATGCAAAGTTAAAAGTACAATAAAATGATGCAACCCAATCAATAGAAAAATGTAGCTTTGCAAAAACGGGTCGAAACGGGTCTCATTCAAAAACTGTAATATTACAACATTAAAGGGCCATCGTTGTGAAATAGGAAAACGAACCTGCCTACCATTTGGCTTTCTTACAAATCAATATAATAATAATAATAATAATAATAACAGGTCTTTATTGTTTTTGAGCAAAAATACATGCTAAAACAAGAAAATTTACATAAAAATAATTACAAGGCTATCAACATTACATAATATAAGACATTACATTAGATAGCTACTCTATATTTAAAAAAGAGCCTATTAAAAAAACTATTTTTAAAACGCTGGGTATTAACCCTAGGGAGTTGACCACTAGGAACTCGGAGGCGCGCTGAGCTTTCTTTTGTTTTAGGGACAGAAGGATACAGAGGGTGACCAGGCATAATGGAGATATTCTTGAATAGTGGGCGATCAACCTCTTCTAATACACCATATATATCAATTTGGTACGAAATATATTTGCGTTTAAAACAGCGCTGTAGAAAATTCTGGACCGTCGTTAATTCAGGTATTGAGGAGGCGTATATGGATAGACCATACGTTGGTTTAGGTAAAACAATTGATCTAAAAACGTAATCTACATCTGGTTGTTGATATCCCTCTTTGCGCAAACACCTTATCACATAAAGACACTTATTGGCCTCCTGCAGCTTACCCTTAATATGCTCATTAAACCTGTGATTACTCTGTAAAGTAACCCCTAACACTTTTATTGTTCTNAGAAACTATTGCTGTAAAGACACTTATTGGCCTCCTGCAGCTTACCCTTAATATGCTCATTAAACCTGTGATTACTCTGTAAAGTAACCCCTAACACTTTTAAACAAGAAACTTGCGTTATATCGTTCACAGGGTCTATATCACGAGCAACCTTCTTACAAAGTATTAGTTCATTACATTTTTTGGGATTACATGCCATGGCATTATCTTTGGTCCAACTGAAAAACTGATTGACAACCTCTTTAGAAAGATCTATTTCATTTTTACATACTTTGACTAGTAAGGTAGTGTCGTCAGCATATTTAACTATGCTGGTAAGGTCACTTTCACTAATGGCTAAATCCGTCGTTGATAAACAAATTGAAAAGATGAGGCCCACTGACACTACCCTGGGTAGTTCCTTTGTTCACATTATGCCATTTGTAGATAAAACCCTGATATATTAGTCTTTGTTTCCTATCCATTAGAAAACTTGAAGTACCAGTTGACAAGATAAGGATTGAGATGAAGAGCCTTTAGCTTTTCCCCTAGTAACGAGTGTTTTACATTATCGAAGGCTTTCGAAAAATCCATCGCAAAAAGCCTAATATAATTACAATCCTTATCATCAAGTGCCCTTATTAAGTAATCATGCTGTATTTGAATCAAGGCGTCTGCACAGCTGCAGCCCTCCCTGTAGGCATATTGTGTGACTCTGCAGTTCACGTTGGACATCATTGTAAATGAAACTGAAACATGTGGCTGCCCAGTGGCCGTTCTCGGCATAATTTGACATCGATCAGTGCTCAGTTGAAGCGCCAGTTACAATTTGTTCGGCTGCCTACTACTGTTTCGTTCACTTCTAAAAATTTACTCAAAGCTAACCTCTTGTCCTGCATTTGCCAGTTTAAAATGTTTCGTTCTGTTTATGTTCGATCCAAGCAAGAAAGTTATGATATAAGAACACTAACGGGCAACCACTGATGCAATAACCAAATAACAGTAAAGACTATGGACACGATAATCAGAATGTATCACAATAAATCATGGTGTAAAACGACATGGAGTATTTCTATGACAACTTGAATGACAAATAAAGGAAGATAACCGAAAAAGCATTTTTCATTTGTTAACGATTTATGACTGATTCAGCAGTTACAGAAAAGTTCTTAGCTTTCGTCGTGTTAAGATGTTTTTGTTTTTGTTTTTTTGTTTGCTAACATTATGGGTAAAATAACTTAAATATCACCTAGAAATTTAAAATGATAATTTCCATGAAACTCCCGAATAAGAACTCGTCTGTAGAAAGCCTTCTAGTCCAAATTAAATAATGAATAAAATAAACGACGTCCACTTGGGTTAGTTACGTAAGCCTCCCTTATGACAACGGGGGAATCCCCAGATCAATCTAAGCCGGAGAGAACTGGCTCTAGTTAGTTTCCATTCCTCCTTGACGCTTCCAGCATGATTTGAAAGAGTAATTGCAGAATTAGCATGAGAGAACATCATGACATCTTCAGATAGATAATAATTTATTGGTGATACTTTAATATTTTATTATCCAACGTGGCTCTGTTGGGGTATTACAGATAATTTGAGTTGAGAACGTAAATTGGACACCATAAAGAAATTTTACCACTGGCGTTAGTCGGCCTTCGTCGTAGCGAACTTGACGTTGAGTTTGATTTTCTAAGATTAGGGAATTCAGTGCTAAGCCTCGATTTACTAACCTATACTCGCAGTAGGTTATTTCTTTTCATAGAAGGAAGAGAATGAGGCTTGACAAACAAAAATGTGTCATCTAGAGGCTCGTCACTACCTTTAAGAACCGAGATTACCACCTGGGACTCATACTTAAAAAAGATTCTGTTTTTTTCCCTTATTATTTAACAACGGAAGATAGGTGTCAACTGAAGGGATAACCTAAGTCGCTGATACTTGAGCGTTGGAATTTCTTACTTGCAGTAACTCTTAGAACATCCACAAGTAGCACGATGTCGAGACAAAAGTCTCTGCTCTAAATCGATCTGTGTTTCACCGATGACGTCATCTCGTCCGATGAGGTCATAATCCATCACGGCGATTTTGAGATCTTTGACCAGAGGTATGGTGGCTGTGAATTCAAA